ACACACACAAACACCAAAGCTTATTTGGCCATACTATAAGGTCTCACGCACTTACCAAGCATTGAATACACTTACATACACATGCCGTTAAACATACATACATACATACATACATACATACATACATACATACATACATACATACATACATACATACATACATACATACATACATACATACATACATAAATACATACATACATACATACATACATACATGCATGCATGCATACATACATATTATGTATGTTATGTGTGAATGTGTGGTGTCTTTTTTTAACATACATACATACACACAAACATAGCATGCACACAGACGAACACACGCACACAGACATATGGAAACAAACTTACACGTACAGAGCTTTGATTTCCCTCCAGTGTCATAATGAATTGAACCAGGCGTGCATTGATATGGGCTCATTCCGATTTTCACTTGTACTTCTCCGACTACAATTACTACTACTGCTGCTACTACTACTGCAACTACTGCTGCTACTACTACTACTACTGCAACTACTGCTGATACTACTACTACTGCTGCTGCTGTTACTACTACTACTACTACTACTGCAACTACTGCAACTACTGCTGCTACTACTGCTACTGCTGCTGCTGCTACTACTACTACAGCAACTACTGCAACTACTGCTGCTACTGCTGCTACTGCTGCTACTACAACTACTGCTACTACTACTTTTACTACTGGTAATAGTTTTACAACTACTAGTATTTTACCATGATGTTCGTTTATCTACTGCGGCCGTTACTGACTAGTAGCGTTACTTGGTTACTGCTACCAACAGTTAATTTCCATGTTTTCTATTACTGCTTTTATATCATTGTTTAGATAATAGAATTATCGTTATAAAAATATTATTAAAAAAGTTTCAAATAACTCATCCGCCAGGCGCTTACGACACGACATCAACCAGCTGCAACTGCAGCAGCAGCAACAGCAGCAGCAGATATCAAAATCGGCTCACGGATCATTCGACCCTTTGTACGACTACTCCTCAACTTCGATCCAGCAGCAGCAACATTTGACAGACGAAAGGAAGTACCCCCTACTACAATCGACCGACGGCGGGCGACTAGCGACGTATTATCCGACGATACCGACACCGACCGACAACCTCAACGAATACGCCACCATGAGACTGCTACAAAATGAACAACTGATCGCTAATCCCAACCGGGCCCGGAAGTACAATCAAGATGGCGTCTTTCCCGGAGAGCCGGCTGGGATGATGGTGGTGGCAAATCAAACGGGCGCTCCTTGCGGCAATTATCGCTACCCCCCACGAACCATGGTGTCGACGTTCCTGACGACCAGTGATGTGCCGTACACTTTCGGTAAGAACATCTCTCAAGACGGAACTAATTACAAGAACGATCACATCTACGAGTCTCCGGATATCGTTAAAAAGGAAGTCGACAAACTCGTTCAAAAATCTTCATTCCAGGTTCCTCCTCCTCCTCCTTCTCAGGCTTCTTCCGCTCTAAAAACACGCCCTCAATTTCCGGTTGGTGTTCATGACGTGGCAAAAAGAAATGATGACGTCAGCTGTGGCGTAGGTGCGTTCAGATCATCAGCACGCAAAATGGAACACCAGACGAGTTTGGTGAGCAACGACAATGAGGGCGGAGTGGTCGGTGATTGACATTCCAACGTTGGCGAACTCCACTACATATTACATCATGTTTTATAAACTTAGTCAAAACTTTTTGTTATTTTTTTGTATAAAATTTGAATTATTTATAAAACGATTACGATAATTTTTAAATTTAAATGTGAAAAAATAGTTAACTTGTCTTAAACTTTAATATGAAAAGTCTGAAATTATGTACAGCACTTCTTTTTTGGTGAAACAAACAGTTGATGAGTTGTTGTATCTGTTGCTCTGAAAGGCTCTAAAAATTTAAATATTGATTATCGCATTCCCCTTAAACGTGTATTGTCGATAATTTGTATTAAAATGTTAAAATGACATTCAAATATTCAACTAAATCGATGTTCTTATTAATATTTTATTCATCGCTTTCAAATCGTTCGAAAAGAATATCTAATTTTTTGTAACTTCATTGTATGTCGACTTTCTAAACATTGTATGTGTCTGTGTGTGTCTGTTTGTATGCGTGCGTGTACGTGCATGTCTGTTAATAAAACGTTTGTATATATTTTTAGAAGTTCTCTTTTATTTTCGACTTAAAACTTACACGGAATAATATTTGAAAATAAAATAAATGATAAAGAATGAAACGTTTACATCACAATGAATATGAAATACTTTAAAAAATAATACCTGTCCAAAGACAGCAAGTTAAAAAATGAACAAAAACAAAAAACCGTTACACGCTGTCGGGTCTCGATAGGCCATCCAAGATAAAGATACAGTTATATATCTATCTCCAGAACGCAAATTAAATGAAATATAAACTCAATTTCATTTCAGAATATAGAATCAATCCTCTCAAATTATATCCAACAAACGAATGCTACTATTTTAAGCAGGGAGGATTCTATGGGGGACCGAATTGGCTTCATTCATTCATTCAATGATCCTCTGTAATCCCTTAAGGGACCGTTGAGGCCGATGGTATTCTTCTATCTCTCCAAAATCCTTTTCTTTCCCTCGCCATCTTCATTGAGCCCAATGTTCCAACCCCCGTTCATTCCGTGATATCATCCATCCACTTCCTCACAGGTCTTCCAACTTTTTTCTTCCAGTCTCTCTTTCTCATCAGTACTTTTTTTAGTTTTGGTACCGAATTGGCTGGTAGTTTTTAACTAGATTTTGTACAGATCAGCTGAATCGACCGAATAGTTAGTTAGTTATGTATTACTATAGTTCGAAACTTTGAATGTGGCGCTTATGTAGTGAATCAAGCTAGTAGTTTGTTAATAGTTCGCAGTACTCATTGAGTACCACTCAATCCTCAACCTCAATTTGGTACGTTTTTGTTATATTAAGATTGTTGCAAATTTGTCACGATCACTTGACTAGAATCTGAAACAAAACTCGCTAGGGTATAAAACGCTATTAAAAATACCATGGTTTTGCCATTTGCAATTGTTTAAGATAGTACCTATTGGTATAGTGTACGTATGAAATATATATCTACGGCGTGTTACTCTATAATAATGGGAATTCTAATGAAAAAATTTTAAAATATGTATCTGGAGGAGGAATGAACATGGTTTTTGAGTGAAATTGTTAATTGACAAGAAGGTAAGATTTGATCAAGGGTTTCGAATTGGGTATTATTAATGATGGAATTTTTAAAGATGGTGTATATGACAGTATTTTTAATTGTTTGTTGTAAGCATATTTATAGAATATATAAAATATTATATATACAGGGTTGTAAGATAATAAATTAAGTCGTTGGAAGAATGTTTCATGAAAATATTTCATGACCATAGGTATACTTGGATACATGGATATAATTATATACATCCATGCATGGACATATATGCACTATGATATGCACTTCAGATGTGAATCATTATTTTCTTGCGCTTTAGATTCATTTTTAGAAAGTTTCAGTGATTGAGTGTTTTTGGTTGTTTTTATTTCGTTAACTTTTATTTTTTAATTTTGTTGAAAATGTCGAAAAGTAGCAATCGTTCCCATTCGCGAAATCAAAATGGATGCATCGAAGTGAAAAGCAAGGTAGTTTTATTTTCAGTAAATTCAGAGTTTCATTATTTTTTGCCAATGTAGGGCCACGAACCAGTTTTTGTATTTGATTGGTGCTTATTTGAAATCTTTCTTTGGATTGGTGCCAATCTAACTACTAACCCAAACATAGCCTTAGCTTAGTCTGGCTAGCGACTTCTCTTCTTAAACGTTTTATTTTTATTAAATATTTAAATTTTAATATTGTTTAATTTAATTTATCAATCAAAAAGCTTAAATTTTTTTTATTTAAAAATTGTGATAAAAAAAAGTTATTGTATAAGAAAAATATAGATAAAAAATAAAAAAAATTTTTTATATTTTTTTTCCAGTTGGATGCCGAATTTCGAAGATTCACCTTGACCCCCAGCGACACGGCCAGCTTTGATGACTTCTACAAACTTCTTGAATCTCTGCACCACCTCAGAAATCTCTCCTTCAGCATTTGGTACACAGATCATGAAGGGGACCTGCTACCGATAAACAACAATGACAACTACGCCTGTGCCTTGAAAACAGCAAGAAGGATATTGCGCCTGACTATTCTAAAAAATGGTAGGTCTTATCAATATTTGATGGTTTAAAATTTATGCAATTTATGTTTTTTTTTCTAAAAAAATCTAGTATATCTTTAAAAAATCAGGCCAATCGTTTGATGCTACCTTGCACAAGAGAGGGGCCAGTGGAGGGCTGATCAGCAGCAGTTCCATCGCATCAACACTTGGACTTTCTGGCAGCAGATACAGAAAGCCAAACCCAAATCAGCCTCAAATTGGTTTTCCAGAAGACTTTCGAAGAGTTTCTGCCATCATTGACATCGACATCGTTCCTGAAACGTGCAGACGTGTGAAGTTGATGAAGAGTGCAGGCTCAGATAAGCCGCTGGGTTTCTACATCAGAGATGGCGCCAGCATCAGGATCACGTTGGACGGGCTAGAGAAGGTGCCTGGCATCTTCATTTCGAGGATGGTGTTGGGAGGTCTTGCGGAGAGCACAGGATTGTTGGCTGTCAATGATGAGGTCAGTTAACTCTTTTTAATTTATTTTTCATTGTTTTAAATTGTGAAAATTTTTTTATCAGATCTTGGAGGTGAATGGGATAGAGGTGCAGGGCAAGACATTGGATCAGGTGACGGACATGATGGTGGCCAACAGTAGCAACCTAATCATCACCGTCAAACCCGTCAACCAGCACAACAACATTTCCCCTCGTCGCCACGGTCACTTCAACAATGTCACCACCTCGCCGACCCACATCCAGAGGACTGTAGTTGAGGAGGAGGAGAACGATGATGACGTCAGTGGTGATGAGGAGGATGATGGTTGTGGCAGCAGCATCCCGGACAACAAGCAGACGAGCAGTAAGACCAACAGTCTGGATGGCAAGTGTGAGTCAGTCAGTGTTGAGGGCGGTCTCATTGAATATGAGGAATTCGACTCCATGCTCCTAAATTCGCCCCAACACAAAAATGGATCCAAACATAAATTCGATCAGCAACAGAAACCACAACAACATCGTCAACAACAAAATAAGCTGTCCACAAATGGGAGTAACAACAATTCCAAAGTAACAACAAAAACGCTCTCCAATGGGGTGCAAGTGCTGGAACTATGAGATGCCTGATTGGACGACAGGCACCATTGATTGGATGATGGACATCACTGATTGGTCGATGGACACTTTCGATGGGATGATTGGTCATTAATCATGTTCTTGATTGGATTATATATTTGACTGGCATGCTTGATTGGACGGGCTGTCATCTTTAAAATGGAAGGAAATCGAATATGAAAGCAGTGCTAATTTATTATTGGTTAATTTGTTGTTAAGGGTATCTACTTCACTTATGTTATTTGTGACTGTTGATGGCATATGATGGGATGGTGATGACAAAACTTGTTATGTGTAATACTTTTCATTTTATCTGTTTTTCAATTTCTTCCATGGCATAACTTCATCTATCTATCTATCTATCTATGTAAGTGTCTATCTATCTATCCAGCTGTCTATCTATCTATCTGTCTGTCTGTCTATCTATCTATATATATATATATATATATATATATATATATATATATATATATATATATATATATATATATATATATATATATATATATATATATATATATATATATATATATATATATATATATATATATATATATATATATATATATCTGTTCATTAATTCAGTCAGTCATTTATTCATTCACTCACTCATTTATTTATTCACGTGTTTAAAGTTTGTCTCACAGTGGTTTTCACTCCTTTAATTAAGTTTAACTAGCAGTTAGCCAGCAAGCTGTTTATGGATTGTTAGTTGTTCCGTAAGATTCATGTGTATGCCCTCCATCAAATGAAATATCAGTTTTATTTTATTCTTTTTTGGAATATAATTAATAATACAAGACTAATTACTTCATTTTATAAAGCCTTTTAATTAATAACATTTTGTTAACTATTTTCGCTCTCAATACTGGCATGTGTGTGCGTGCGTGCGTGCATGTGTGTGTGTGTGTTTAATTTGCCTTTTTTATATTCACTATTAATTGTATTTATGCCATGTATATGTATGTATGTGTTTGTGTGTGTGTGTGTCTTTATATTGTATTTAACATTTTTCTAATTTTTCCAAAACTATTTGTTATCGCTTAACCATATCTGTCTTTTGAGTTATTTTTTTCTCGCATATCTAATGGATTAATCATTTTTTATGATAAATGATAATTGATGATAAGAATAACGATGATGGTGATAATGATAATGATGACAAACGTGCGATGATGATGATGATGTATGATGATGATGTGTA